CTGCACGGGCGTTTGTTGAACGGTTAAGGAGCTTGGCAAGTGAAGAACATCCCATTGAGGTTCCAATGGAAGTTGATACCAGAATGTTTATAACAGTTTCGGCCAACCTGAATCCCTGTCCAAATGACTCCTGTGCAGGGCCAGATGGTTACAGGGTCTTGGCAAGCTTAAACAATATTAGTTTTGTTAATCCTGCAATTGATATTCTTGAAGCATATTACAGGTACCGCAACCAGCATAAAATTCATCAATTCCTCAACATATATTTTTTTTTAAGTTATTACATAGATTTAAACTTCTGATCTTAATTCCAAAATTAATTTAATTTTTTGAAACCTCTGTTTTAGGAACATAAGTGGGATCTACAAAACAGACTTCCCAGACATACCGCCTGTGTTTTTTAACTTCACAGCCGACGACCTGACGACATCAAATTACACATATACCGAACAGGCAACAAAAGTGAAGGTGTTGAATTATAATGAGTCAGTGGAGATAATTTTCCAAGGGACTAATGTCATTTATGGAGGAGAGGATCACCCAATGCATTTGCATGGGTTTAAATTTTACCTGATTGGATCAGGTGTAGGTATTTACAAAAACGACACTTCTACATCGTCATATAACTTATTTGATCCACCTCGAGCTAATACAATTGTGGTTCCAAAGAATGGATGGGCAACAGTTAGATTCAGAGCTGACAATCCTGGTACAAAACGTTATCTTATAAGATTATAGTAAATACATAACAATTTTCTTTTTGGGAAACTAATTTTTCAGTTGCTGACTATCTGAAGAAAAACAGCCAGTTCGGGACTGGAAAAATAGTTTCTGATAAGCTAATTGTTGCTTAGTTTAGATATTTGAATCATGTCCTTAACTCCGGAATCAAAGTTGTAAAAATGATGCCACTGACACTGGATACTGTGAATTTTTTGACAGGGGTTTGGCTTATGCATTGCCATTTTGAAAGGCATTTTAGCTGGGGAATGGATACCGTTTTTATAGTGAAAAATGGAGACACTGCTGAAACAAGTGTTATGGGACCTCCAGCTAACATGCCTCCTTGTAAATACACGCCACTCTTGCACCATGTATTTAATAGTACCGAAGATGAATTGGACAACATCTGAGCTGGGCTTATCTTCACGCTAGGCCACGGTGTAAGATTTTGACACATTTCTCCATTGTATACGAAGTAACTACAGCCCATTTGTTTTGATATATTAAAAATAGTTATCAATTATTAGTTTTAATTAAATAAATTAAATATTTTAAATTATAAACATCAATAATTATTAGTTATTAAATATTAATTATTTTATCAGTTATTAATTAATAATTATATTTATTAGTTATTTTTTGTAATCAAATTTAATAAGATTAACACTAACCATACCCTAGAAATACTACAAATACTACTTCTATCGTCTAAAACTATTTATCTTTATTTCATTAATCATGAATATTTTCAATAAAGGACTCAGTATAGGGGAAAAAAAAATTAAATAAAGAACTCATTAGTCATAAACCTATGGAGTTAGTGCATGTTTGGTAGAGCTTCCAAAGAGTCATTCTCATGTGTAAAAATCACAACCCATGTCAAAGTTAGAAATGGTGAAGCAAAAAAAAAAAAAATAATGCTTTCGGGGGAGCTTCTCCGCGAGCTTTAAAGCCTGTTTGGTTTGGCTTGTGAGAGCTTTTACTTTTTGAGTACTGTTATAAGTGATAAATTTAAATTTTTATTGAAGGAAAAATTTAAAAGTTGCTTTTAGAGATAGGAAAAAGTGAGTGAAATGTGAGTAAAAAGGGAGTTTATGAAAAATTTGGATTTGAAACTTTTGAGTTTTTACTGTTTGAGATCTTTTTAATGTTAAAAAAAAGTTTTAAAATGTAAGTTTTTAGGAGGGAAATTTAAACTTATGGAACATAAATAGTATTAAAAAGCTGAAGCTCCTAAAAGCTCACCCAAACATGCCCTTAATGAAATATTTGCATCTTCCCATCTTGTCCACAACTCCTTAACATATTTATAGCTAAACCCCTATACATACGCCACAATTTTGACAATTTCAGAACAAATGCCGCTTCTCCTCCATCCGTCGCCCGTTGTCCTGCACATTTTAACCACATCTTCACCTTCTCTTCATTCAATTAACTTAGATCATGTTTTTCCGACGTTTCCCGCCACAAGATCTAAGAGTAGCCTTCTCCATCTTCGATTTGCTAAAGCCAACAAAGAGTAAGCTCTATTCACCTTCTCTATTCTTTGCTTGTAAGGCTTTTAGTGTGGTCCAATGTAATTGGATTGGATTTCGTCTAATTTTAAATTAATTTGGATTAATTGGGATTTTTTCCCATCCAAGATTTATTAGGTTATACCTAAATCTCTCTTTAATCCCTTCCTAAATCACATATATGTAAGGATAGGTATGAGATAACTGGTCTCAAACATATTATGTGTATATTAAGCTTGAACCATCTCTTCAAGTGGTTTGAGCTTGGATCACTTGATAATCAAGATGAGGCTCTAGTTAAGGTCTTTCTAGTTGCATGATGATTACAATGAGAACGCATTCACCTAATCCCCATTCCCAAGAAGCCTACTTTTATGGACACATCAGATCCCAATTATTTCATTAAGAAGGCCATATGGATATCTCATTAAGGCCTATAAATACCCTTAAGGGTCACTTTCTACATGTAATTGAAACTGGCCTAAAGCTTTCTTTCTATTCTTTCTTAAAGTAAACCAGATTATTGTTGACTTAAGCATTGAAGTGTTTACCCTGAGGACCAACCTTGGGGTAAGTCTGTTTGAAGAGAAGACTTGGACTAGGAAGGACTTAAGGGTTTGTTGTAATTACATTTGGCGCCGTCTGTGGGAATCGAACTAAAAGTTTTGCTGTTAATACCTTGCAACATGGTTAGTACCCACTCTACCTACACTGGAAGTCAGGCCCAACCTTTTGGTTGAGCTCAAGGACCAAACAACAATAACTTTCTACAATCTACACCAAATCATAACGTCACATTGAACACTTTGAAGGAGGAGATAAGAATCATCAAAACTCAATCCCTACCTAAGGAGCTGCAATAGTAGCCCAACTTACAGCAATGCAGTAGCAATTTGGGGTTTTCTAGCTAGTGTTAGCCCAATTCCTAGCTAGAAACAACCCTAGTAACCCCTACATTTATCTCTTAAACCCAACCTAATAACCTTTAGCTCCATAACAAGAATAGCATAACACCTACTTTATGATCATCAAGATGCTCCAGCCCTAAGTAAGTCACAGGGCCAATCTCATGTAGCTTCACCCTAACCAACTATGCCTGATGACATTACTATCTTGACAATTTAGAAAAAATGGTGGCTGAGCAATGAAGTGTTCTACCACCTCAAAATAATAGTAATTCAATGCCACACCCATTGAACATTAATATTGTTCAAAAGCTTTATCCAGTCGGGTTTAAAATGTCCTAATTCGAGACATATGATGGAACCAATGACCCATATGACCATTTACATGCCTTTTATTCCTACATGCAAGCTCAGAATACTTTAGATGCTCCAATGTGCAAAATATTCCCCTTAACACTTCGTGGCAATACTTGGACATGGTATTATAGCTTGCCATTAAGGTCCATCAATTCTTATATTGAAATGGCTATTGCTTTTGCCACAAAATTTGCTAGCAGAAGATTGATAAAGAAAATGACACTTGAGTTCATGAGAGTGAGACAACGTAAGGGAGAATCTCTGAAGAATTACAAGAACAAGTTTAATGATGCAGTTCTTGAAATTGACTATTTTGATTAGGCAGTTGGGATTGCTACCATAATCTAAGGCCTCAACCATGAGCAATTTTGAGATAATCTAATCAAACATCCACCTACTACCTTTGATGAGGTCAATGACAGATCTCAAAAATTTATAATGACTAAGGAGTATGCCTTGTCTCAAAGGTCTATACTTGCTAAAGATAATTGAACTTTGACATGGAAAAAGGAAGGACAAAGCAAAAAGAAGATGAAAGGAGCTCAAAATCGAGGTTCGATTTCCATGTCTAAGTTTGGCAAGTTAGAATCAACAACCCTTTAAACTCTAATTATAAAGCCACCAAATGCATGGACTTCTTTCACTCTACTAAGGTCATCAATTCTAATGCAAATTAAAAACAAAATGGAGTTAAAGAAGCCAACTCCAATGAGGAGTTCAACTGCCACATGAGACCACATGAGATATGTGACTTTTAGGAAGATCATGGCCATAGGATGAAGGAATGCAATAACTTGAAATCCAAGCTCAAAAGGTTAGCTCATAGGGGAATGTTGAACAAATATATTTAGAATAAAGACCAACCCAAGTTCATTAGAAAGTAGGGGCAATAGTCCCAAAGACCTTAAAGTGCAAATAGTTGAGATGGGATAAGGTATTAGTAAGCCCCACTGCCCTTTCCACCTTTAGCTAGAATTATTCACATGATAACTGGTGAACTTGAAGTAGGAGGATTAAGCTCCAAGCAACAAAAATTATATGTTAAGGAGGTCAAACATTAAAGCTGAGCTCAACAAAGAAAGTTTAATGATGCAAAATGAAAGAACCAGCCCATAACATTCACGTTTGCTAATCTTGACAATGTTGCTACACCTCACAATGACCCATCGACTACTTCCATCATAATTAACAATTGTGAGCTCCAATGTGTACTCATGGATATTGGGAGTGCGCTTGACATAATGTATTACCACTGTTTTGAGAGTTTCGAACTCGACCCAACTTTGCTATAGAAATATGATGGCCTTATTTATGGATTTAATAACCAACCAGTTCCAGTTGAAGGAGTGCTTAAGCTCAATGTGGCATTCAATGGAGGCCAAACCTGTCACCCATTCAGTTTGGTTGTTGGTTGTCAAAATGGCTTCATCTTTCAATGTTGTTATCGGTCGACCTACTTTGACAGAAATCTGAGTTATGGTTTCGCAATCCCACCTATGCATGAAGTTCCCAACATTGAGGGACAACTAGGAAATAGCCAGGCATTGTTATATAACGTCAGTTACACGACCTTGGAAAAGCAAAAAGATGATTCAGACGTTAAAACCACAAGCCTCGAATGACCAACAAGTGGTGGGAGTGGAGCTAATTGACAACAGACCTAAGGACGAGGTTAGAGCGACCCTGAGTGAGAAGGTAGAAGAGGTACAGATTGATGATAGAAACTCAGCTAGGAAAACTTAAATCGAGACTAAGTTGAGCCCTAAGGAGAGGGAAGAGTTAATTGCCTTCCTTTAAGCAAATAAAGAATTTTTGCATGGATTTAACCAAATATACCAAGGATCCTGACCTTGGTAGCCATGAATAAGTTAAGCACTAACCCTTTGAAGAAGCTAGTGACTCAAAAAAGGCATCTCTTCGAAGGTGAAAGGTTTTAGGTCATAAAGGAAGAGGTGGAAAAGCTTCTACGAGCTAAGTTTATAAGAAAAGTTGATTACTATAAATGGATTGCCAATCCTATTTTGGTTAAGAATGCTAATGGCAAGTGGAGATTATGCATTGGCTACATTGACCTCAACTAAGCTTGTTCAAAAGATCATTATCCAATGCCAAACATAGACAAGCTTGTTGAAGCATCTTTTGACAATGAGAGTTTAAGTCTCTTAAATACATATTCAGGCTATCATCAAGTCCTAATGGCACTCGAAGATGAACAAAAATCTCTTTCTATGCTAGAGACAAGATTTATTGTTATGTCATGATGCCTTTTGACCTAGAAAATGTGGGCATAGCATATTAGAAGATGGTAACTATTGTATGCTGAGCTAAAATAGTTAGGAACTTAGAAGTTTATGTTGACGACATTGTGGTGAAAAGCTTGAAGGTTGAGGATCATTTAGTTGACCTAAAAGAAACATTTAATAGTTTGAGGAAAAATAAAAGGAGTTTGAACCCTGCAAAGTGTATCTTCAGTGTGAAATCAGGCAAATTCTTGGGATTTATGGTATCTAAAAAGGGGATAGAGGTCAATCATGAGAAAATCAAAGCTATTGAAGAGATGGAGCCTCTAAAGTCTATAAAAGATGTTTAGTGTTTAATCGGATGAGTAAAAGCTTTTCACAAGTTCATCTCTAAGTTAGTTGATAAGTGCCTTCCTTTTTTCAAAATTATGAAATTAGCAACACAGAAAAATAAAGTTGGGAAGCTGAAAAAATTTGAATGGACTCCAAAATGCCAAAGTGTATTTGACAAGCTTAAGTCTTATCTTAGCTCGCCTTCTCTGTTCACCAAACCTATTGATGGGGAGATCCTTTATTTGTACCTCGAAATTTTAGATGAAGCAATAAAAACCTGAATGTTTGGGAAGATTAATCAAATGGGTGGTTGAATTAGGAAAGTTTAAAATAACATTTCAATAGAGGTTAATAATTTGAGCTTAAGCATTGGCAGACTTTGTTGTTGATTGCAATCCCAACTAGTCAAACTCTATTTTTGAAATAGATATTTGGACTCTATATGTTGATGGTGCATCAAATCATAAAGGATCAATTGTTGGAGCAGTGTTGGTTGGCCCAAACAAGTTTTGAAGTGAACACACCTTGAAGTTTAACTTTGAAGCAACCAATAATATGGTTGAGGATGAAGCTCTATTGCTTGGACTTGAACTGGCATTATAACTGAATGTCAAAGTTATTCAGATTTGTAGTGATTCATAGCTCATAGTGAACTAAGTAAACTTGATATGTGAGATCATTAAGCCCATCTTGATAAAATATGCAACCATGGTCTTTGAGCTAAAGTGCCAATTCGAAAAATTCAACTTCATGAAGGTCTCTAGATCCAAGAACGAACAAGTGGATTCACTCTACAAATTCACTTCACATAGTTTAGAGGAGATGGGGTTAATCTATGTTGAAATCGTCAGTGAGCTGAGCTTTTAGAAGTCAAGGTCGATGGAGATTAGCATAGATCCTAATACCCCAAGTTAGACAGACTAGATCAAATCTTAGTTACAAGTTGGCTTAGTTCTTAACAACAAAAGGAGGAGATAAGGTTGAGAAGAAAGGCATCTCGATACACTTTCATTGATGAAGTCCTTTACAAAAGATCCTTTTCACTTTTTTTACTTCATAGCTTAACACCGTATAAAGTTGAGTATGCTCTTTGTGAGGTGTATGAAAGTATATGTGGAAGTCATGTGGGTGCTAGAACATTAACCCATAAGATGCTCAGACAAGGATACTATTAGTTGAATATAAGAGGGATGCTAAGGAATTCGTGCAACAGTGTTTGAAGTGCTAATTCTTATCACATTTAACTCACTAGCCAACTAAAGAACTCACCAATTGGTGGCACCATGGCCATTCGCCTAGTGGGGGCTTGACTTCTTGGGTTTATTCATGAAAGGTGCTGAGGGAGTGACACTTGGTAGTTGAAGTAGACTACTTCACAAAATGGGTTGAAACTTGGCCACTATTCAACCTCACTTTAAAAAAGATTGAAGACTTTGTGTTCAGCTCAATCATAGGTTGATATGGGATCCCAAATTAGATTGTTACTAATAATGGAACATAGTTCAACTTCACCTCATTCAAAGACTTCTACTAAAGCTATAGGATCAAGTTATAATTCACCTCAACTTATTATCTGGAGGCTAATGGGATGGTATGGTAGAATCAGTTAACAAAGTAATTCTTGAAGGAATCAAGCTGAGGCTGGAGTAACACAAGGCCATGTGGGTAGACGAACTTAACAACATCTTATAGGCATACAGAACCACGAGTCGAACTACCACAAATATTAGGTTTTGAAGTTACCCCTGTACATTTCATCTCATCACATTTTTTGTTTTGTTCCATTCTTTACTTTAGCCATAGTTTAAACACACATAATTTGTAAAGCAAATACTAAAACAATCATTCATTCAAATAGGTGAAACACTCTATCACTTGGCCTTTGGCACTAAAGTAGTCATTCCTATTGAAATAGGAGTCCCAAGCTTAAGGGTTTGCCATTTTGATAAGGCACGAAATGGGCAGTTGCTTCAAGAAAACCTTGATTTGCTTGACGAAATCAGGGAAGAAGTTTGACTTCAAACTTTATCCTACAAGTAGAAATTAGCCAACTTTTACAATAAACAAGTTTGGCCTCAAATTTTCAGAATTTGTGACCTTGTCCTCGGAAAAGCTGGACTTATAGGACTTGAGACTTGTTTTGGCAAATTAGCCCCAAATTGGGAAGGCCCTTGTATAATGGTTGAAATACTACATCTTGGTGCTTATATCCTCCAAGATATTGAGGGTAGAAAGTTTCCTAGGATGTGGAATGTCAACAACTTAAAGAAGTTTTATCCATAAAGTCACTTCTATGTTCATTCAATTATTTTGTTGAGCTCATTATTCAGTTCTATTCAACTTGTCATTCGCACTCCTCTGAAGTGTTATTCAATTTATTCCTTCGTACCTCTATATTTATTTGTTAATATATAAACTAGATTTTAGCTCATACATTGGGATGAGCTCAAGTTCCAATTCAATATTTCTTTCATATTTGTACAATCCTATTCTATTTAATCAAAAAAATAGTAAACAAGTCAAACCAATAAATTAAACTTAAAGAACAAAATTCAAAAATTAAAAATTTATACAAATTCATTAATTGTTCAAGTACAAATATCAAAATCAAAATGGCCAAGATGAGGCTTCTCAATTAGTTGATACTAGTCTACTTCTTGATTTTTGACATTATCTATGACAAACTTGAAGTCGAAGTTCAGAGGAAAAATAGTATGGCCTTCATTGTCCTTATCCCACTTCAATTTGACTTCGAGATGGAAGTCGGCCATCTTGCTTTCACTGTTTTCCTCTACCCTTACTTCTTGAGCTCCATAGGTAATGCTTGTTACATCCACTTCGAGATGTTGACTCTTTATCTCTTTTCAATAATCAGTGAAGGTCAGGATCACGATCGGTAATCAATGCAGGTCCATTATGTGGTTAAACTTGTTGGACTTGATAAAGTTAGAAATATGCCCTTCCGTCACATTGTGGACATGTAGCTCAACCCTTTTCTCAAACTTGGTAGCCTTCCTCCTCACTTTAGCAATCTTGTTATCCCTTTTAGATAACTTCTCCTCACAAATCCTCCTTTTATGATCAAAGAGCTCGACAACCTTTTTTAGTGTGGCATTCTCTTCTCACAGCCTTTCTAGTTTCGAAGTCAAGTTAGCCACATCATTCTCGGCCTCATCTTTCTACTTGCTGAGCTTCTCCTTCACCAACTTGTTCCTATTCTTGAGGGACTCCAAGTAATTGTTTGCCAAAGTGTTGGCAAGGTTGGTTCCTTGCACCAACAACCAAATTTTTTTTTTTTTTAAGGGAATAAGAGATACTATTCAATAACCAACTAATTACCTCAAGTAAATGGTGAACAACTCTAGCTTAGCCATGCAGCTTAACCTCATCCCTTGCTTGAACCAAGTGTGGCTCTAGGAAGGTGATGTCAATGAAACGCCTCGTAGCTATCTTACTAGTGGAGTTGAAAAAGCTATAGCCCTCAAGGTGAACAACCCATGTTGGGAAGCTTTTCCCCTTCCCATGTATGATGACTCCTACATCCTTGAAGGCAAGATCAATGTTTATGAGTGGGGGACGAGGCACGAACTCCAGCATTTCCTTTTTCTATTGTTGTTGCCTCTCCACCCTTCACCCCTTCTGCTTTGCCAGCTCATCTTTAGCCCTTTTCTTGGCGAGCTCAATTGCTGTCTTACCAGCTTGAATAGTTAGAGCTCGGACTAAAGTTACGGTAGTGTAAGGTACAGAGCTTCTGTCCTTAATTCGCTCCTTCACCACTATAGCAGCAAGCCATTTTGATTTCTTCTTTAGGATGGCAGCATTCCCAATAGTAGCCAATAGACAATTCATCTTAGCTACAAAACAAATAACAATTAAATTTTAATCAACAACATATGCTTATGCAAAATAAAGTGAGTAATAACACACCTCCACTGAGTGAATTTGTCCCGTATATTTTGAAGGCATCCAACATCTCCGCACTTGTAAAATGAAAAATATCTAACATGTCCTCATCCCCCTTTATTAACATCTTTACATCTTCCCACTCAACCAGGGTCAAACTGTACTTATTAGGATTTGCCCTCTCCGGTTTCCATTTACATAAGGCATCTACTTCCCCATCCACCTTATCCCATTCTATATCATCTACAAAAAAAATTTTGTCCTTCCATCCCTTGATGGAGGAAGGACCCAAGTTGAATAAATCTCAGTTTTCTTTATTAAAGTTGTAGGCTGTGAAGTAATACCATCCTTTCTCTTTATTACTCCTAGCTTTTATTACGTAAAAATACATAAAAACATTCATAGTTGGGAAGGCAACCTCATAAGCTCGGCAATATACCAAGAAAGCTATAACAAGCCGAACTACTTTGGGGACGAGCTGTGTCAAGCCTATGTTGTAGTCTATCAGCAACCCCACTAGCAATTTTGAAATGGGAAATCGTAGCCCAACAGCTAGATAATGAGTGTACAAAGGCATCCAATGATCCTATAGTATAGAATAGGCGTTTTCCTCCTTCATAGTAAGTCTTAACAAAACATGGGTGGGAATCCCATAGTTGTTAACCAAGTGGACAAGGCTACTCTTACTCTTTCAGAAGGACTCATACCTCATAAATTCAAACACAACCTCCTTCGAATCATCAAAACAACTCTCCCGCCTATCATTAGCCTCCAAAATTGTGGAAGGAATACCCCTTTCAACCTACACTTCCTATTCATTTTGTTTAGTCCCAAAGAACTCCACCTCTATATCTTCCTCCACATGGCCCATGACCTTAACCTCTTCACCCTCCCCAACACTTAAGGTTTCCTTTGAAGACATATCTTCTGTTTCATAACTTTCACTACATGGAGTTAGTGGTGGGATTTAATCAGGATCTTCATCAAACTCTAACTCACGTTCTATTTCGCTTTTGCTCCTAACCTTAACTACTCTAAGAGTGCTTAGATCTAAATCTGAAAGTGTAAGTGGCAAATCTGACTCTTCACTAAAATCAAAGGTAGAAGAACTCAAATAAGTTACCTAATTTTGATTGAGCTGAATTGAAATACTTGTGAAATAACTTAAAGTTGATTGCTTGAGTAGGAACACTCAGAAGCTCAATAACGACGGTAGTTCTAGTAAAATATAAGTAGCAATTCGATAGCAATACAACAAAGTAATAAAAATCTACACAAGTATGACTATATATACTAGTACCATACAAGCCTCAACGGCCACGATTAACCTCATCTGAAGGATGAGATTGCGCCCTTTCAAATTTGACAGTTATTTTCTAAAGCCCGAATTTATTATTGTGCATGGCCCAATGACAGCTGTCAGCTAGCATAATAACCTCTTAGATTAATCAAAGAGGCACAACTAGGCCCAGCCCATATTTTTTAGCTATTGTTCAAAATATCTGTACAACTGTCAAAGTTTTTATCTCATGAATTTTCATCTCGACTACAACCAAAAACACATGATTACATATCATGAATTTTTATCTCGACTATGGTAAAAAACAAGACTACGTATCATGAAATTTTATCTTACTTATGGCCAAAAACACATGACTACTTATCATGAATTTTTACCTTGACTACATATCATACATTTTTACCATGACCATGGTCAACTTAAACACTCATTTCACTTTCATCACCATTCCAAACTACTTCCTAACTTCATCATTGACAAGTGAATGACTTGGAAGGGGGGAATAGTGTAAGGATAGGTCCGAGATCACTGGTCTTGGACATATTATGTGTATATTAAGCTTGAACCATCTTTTCAACTGGTTTGAGCTTGGATCACTTGATAATTGAGGTGAGGCTTAGGTTGAGCTCTTCCCAGTTGCACCATGACTACAGTGAGAATGCACTCACCTAATCTCTAATCTCAAGATGCCTGCTTTTATAGACACATCAAATCCCGATTATTTCATTAAGAAAGTCACGTGGATACCTCATTAAGGCCTATAAATACCCTCAAGGGTCACTTCCTATAGGTAATTGAAACCGAACTAAAGTTTTTTTTGCATTCTCTTTTAGATTATACCAGATTATTGTTGATTTAAGTATCAAAGTGTCTACCTCAAGAATTAACCTCAAGGCTTTGTAGGTTTATTCAAAGAGAAGACTTGGACTAAAAAGGACTTGAGGGTTTGTTGCAATTAATTACAATATCATTGCTTGCAAAGCTTTTTTTTTTTTTTTTTGGCCTTTGCTAATTTTTATTATTAATTAATTTAATTTGAGCAAATTTACGGTCTCATCCTCTTACTGATTAAAACCCCAGTTTCTTATTCTTACGAATGGCAACTACAGTACATTTAACTTCAATTAAAAAAAAAAAATGACAACTACAGTACATGCGATGTGCAGCCTTGTCCTTCCTCCTTGTTGGTGTTGGTACTTGGTACTAGGTCCCCTCTATCACTTTTTGTTCAGGTGTTTTGTGGTCGGCTTTGGCTATGGCCCATTGATTTTGTTAGGAGCATCGCAATAGTTAAATTTTTATCTTTATTTGGCTACATATATATTTAATTGTTAAAAATAATTATTTCAAAAAATTGTTAAAAATAATGAATAATTAATAAAATAATTAATAATTATTATTTAATAAATTAAAATGTGTTTATAAATAAATATTTTTAAATATTATAAATAACTATTTAAGAAAAAATTATAAACTAATAAAATTATAATTAAATTTGATTTATTTGATCAACCATATAGTTAAAATTGATAATCTTCCCAATAATACTAATGTTCATTACCTCAACTATTTTGCCTGTGTTATATTCGAGTGTTTTATTTGGGTTATATTTATTCTTTTGATGAAATCTTAAATCTTTATTAAGT